GAAAGAAAGAAAGAAAGAAAGAAAGAAAGAAAGAAAGAAAGAAAGAAGGAAAGAAAGAGAGAGAAAGAAAGAGAAAGAGATTATTTTAGATCAATGTAAAAATAATGTTAACCTCAGATATATAATATCACTGCCCATACACAAAAATTTGTAGTACAGCTCATGTTTACTTAAGGTGTACCCCTTCATTGTAGAAGTATAAACAGACTTCTTGCTGGATGTGTTTTAATCTGAAGGATGCGCATGAATGACTTGCAAAATGGTCCATAAATGAATTGAGGGGCATCACGCGAAGGTAGGAAGATCAGTAAATGCATGAACATATGTCTGCTCACCAAAATTGTCTTTGTCCCTCTGCCAAGGACAATGGTTGCTGAAGTGGAGCCAAGCTAATGCTGGGTGTTTAAAGTGTCTGAACTGTACAAAATCACCGATTCTGTCACACTAGTAATTCACCAAGAAAGTCCGTAATTATTCTTGTTTTCAGGGAGCAGGCAAAAAAAAAATAGAAAGATAGACTCAAATCCAGCCAAGGAAAGAGTCACAGGTAAATGAGCGACAGGGCCTGCTGTCATGTGACCCAGCCACACCTACCAGCTCCCAGTACACTTACTTGAACAATGGAGTTCCACAGACAACACACTTATATATTCCAGGGTCTTTGTGATGTGTGTATTCTCCTTCAAAGGCACTGATAAACAATAAACAGATCGTCAGAAAGGATTAACCAAGCTAGTACTACTTCCTAGAGAACACACTGGTTTAAAATACATTTTGCTAGCAAATCTTTCCGAGGGTTTTGGCCCTAAAATGAGAACAGGCCAAACATATGGAAACTTGAACAATACTAATATATTTCAAATATATGTGTAATAAAATGGGCATATAACTACTCCAAAATAGTACAGGGTGAGTAAAAATTATCAAACCATCTAGTATGTAATACTTAGAATATTTTTTCAAATTAAAAAAAAAAAAAAAAAGCCTGTTGTGTGATTCATAGAAAGAACACTGTTACATAAGATTTCTGCTACTCCATGCTATGCAAGAGGGGGACCAGAAAATGTAGCAGAGTCCAAGTCTTCAAGTGGAAGGAGCCTTATTTTTTGGTTTGAAAAGGAATATTGCAGCTTTAAGGGAATATTTTTCTAAGTTAACAGTCTTAAAGGCGAGGAGGTCACTCAGCTAATACAAATCAGCTGTGAAGCCTGACAAAAAGGCTATGTGCGCCACAGCTTGTTTTTATTATCGTTTCACCCTCTTTACGAGGTCCAATTTTTTTTTTTTTATAAACAGAATTTTTAAGAATGACCTAATCTCTGGTTGTTTGTGTGCATTAAATCATTTTGCTAGCCAGGCACACAACAGGGCGGGCAGAAGTCCCTTGCCCTGAGAATCTAGCCCACCACTGGCTCCAGCGGCCGACGAGGGCGCGCACCTTGTCCCAGCTTCGACATTTAGTAAATTCAGTAAACAGTGGATTCTGTGACAGGGAAAGTGTGGTGCCTATTAACAAGGATCCCCTGTGTGGGAAAGAGCTCTTTTCAGCTCATGAATGAAAACATAAAGTTACATCATTAATAAATCTGGACCAGGGGTACATTTCCATCTTCATGCCAAGCTCCGTAGTATAAATTAGACACCGAGATCATTGGACCTTGGCAAGTTACTTTTTAGCTGGAATCAGCTGAGGTGGAGTTTATTCACTAAAAACAGTCTTAGAAGTGAACAAACTCTCTCTCTCTCTCTCTCTCTCTCTCTCTTTTCCCCCTTCCAGGATGTAGGGCGAACTTCCAAGGACCAAAGCCATGTGAGGGCAGTTATTGAAAATTTTTGACATTCCAACCACAAATGAGCCAATAAATACTTTCTCCACATGTGCTTCAAAAAGAAATTGGAGTGGGGTAGAAAGGAACTAAATTATGCTACCTTCTTTTTGCAGCCAAAACGTCTTATGCTTACAATGGCCACCTTCAAAATGCCAGCATCTTGGCATGGCTCCATGTCCCTCACAGTTTTCCTCACTGTGACGTCTTCCAAAAAAAGTACCTAAGTCGCTATTACTTCCACACATTTTGTTGTAAACTAAAAACAGACCCTTAACAAAAAGCCCCGTGACTTTATATAAGATAGCATGTTCATTGAGTGGAGGGAAGCCAAAAGAAAACCCAGCCTTAACTAAACAATTGCCATTCCCAACCTTTCCAAAGGCATCCTTTGCAAGCCTTCACCTTAGCCAGTACGTGGTTTCCTTAAATTAATTAGCAAGGAAGAAGGCTCTGAGGAGGAGGGAGAGCAGCAGTTCTTGCTTGCCGGGGGTTTTCAGTACAGCAAACATTACCTTTCCGTGCCTTTCTCCTGAGTGACATGGTACTGTAGGGGAGTCAGCCGCTTCCTCAGTTCCTGCTGGGAAAAGACCACCTTACAGTTCTTTTTATCCCTACATGACCCTGGAAAGAGAGGATATGGGAAAGAGCCGGTTTTAGCCTGAATCCTAAATAATTGCTTTGGCTGGCCGCCACAGCACAGCCTGTATACACACTCGTCAATGACCAGACCAGGCCCTAACAGACTACAAAATCTTACCTGAGCTGCAGCCGATCCCCAAGGCCAACTGATTCCCCCGGGGCAGCGACAAGGTGTCACAGCCAAGGCTTCTAGCACATGATACTAAAAAAATCACCGGGCATTTGTTTACAGGACGGTGGTACATCTCTTATGCCACCTGCACGCATTTGCAAGTATTTGATGACAATGGGCATGTAAAGATCCTGTCCAGTAATTTTGCAGCTTGGTAAAAGAACTTGAAGCCATCACCATTCCATTGCCATCCAAGATGACTACCATCCTATTCATTGTTTTCTGGGACCCTAAAGATACATTTTTTTTTCTTCTACATTAGGAACTGTTTCTTTCTATGTGTTTATCAGATACTTCACTAGTTTTTATGTGCTTTTTAGAAATGCATGTTTTTCTAAAAACTATACCTTACCAGGTCAGCAAGAAATTGTCAGTAGACTTCAGGAGAAGGCATTTATGGAAATTCAAGAATTCCAGAAAGAGAAAAAGAGAGAGACAGACACTGAGACAGAGACAGACAGACAGGAGTGGGGGTCAGGGAGAAAGAACAGACCGAGAAGTGGAAGAGTGATTTTACTTCCAGGCTTATGGTGTCCTTTTGCAGTTCAGCTGGGAGGATTTCACTGACTAGGGGTATTTGGATGATGAAATGATTCTAATGTGATTAGAATCTAAATGATTCTAATAGCAAGGGTAGTTTTTATTTCAGTGTATGCAGACTGCAGTAAAATGTTCAGACAACACCTGTTTATATGTACTCTTTTATTTTACCTGAGCAAAGGACTGAAAAGAACCGTAACTGTAAGACTGGACAGCTATTACTCACTGCAGTAAAATGCCTTTTCTTTGCCATCCATCACAGTGTGAAACAAGCTTGTGGATGGCACTCAGTGCAAAGATTTCCTACTGTGTTCTTGGTACCCTGAATATTAAATTCAACATCTTCTGACTTAGCAGTGAAAACGCTGCCCACTGTTTACTTTTAAGGTACCTAACATAGAATATGAGATTACTGAAGTTAAACTTGGCTAAAATTAACTAACCAGTTGTCCTGATTGTGGGATTGAAGAAGGGCTATCAGCTTCCAGAACTGAGGCCACCTAGACAGATGGCTGCTTCGCCACCAGAAAACAGGGAGCTGGGGAAAAAAGCAAACCAGAGCCAAACAGAAGATAACTTTGGTCAGGCCTGCAGGAGTCAGACTGACTTCTGGTAGCCTTCCTGATCCTTTGTTGGTCTAGAAAAAGACCCAGGGACAACTGGCACCTGGGGAATGGCCCTGGGGGCCTCCCATCTCATTGAACCCCCGTTAACACCAGGCTCATCCTGGTGTGAGAAACCCTGCTTACTTCTGGCCAAGGGACAGCTAGAAGGTCTCCTTGATAAATGTTCAGCTTGAATGAAGAAGGGCTTTTGCTCAATCAGTGCCCTGAGTTGGGTGAGTTTCTGTTTACCGCCCCATAGACTTCTTTAAAAATAATTTTGCTTGCATTTATTTATTTACTTACTTACTTACTTATTTGAAGGATATCTTTGCTAATTTTGTCAAGAAGTTCATTAATTACAAACTTAATGTGACAAATTATGGTGGTTAAAATTATTAGTTCCAAAGGGCTTGATAATTAAGATCAGAACAATTAGAATTAAGCAAATCTGTCCAAAATATTTTGAGTTAATATATGTTCATTCATACAAAAAGACCAATTGTGTTCCCAAAGTTGCGAGAGCTAAGCTACCCATCTGTATGTCATTTAGTACAAGAGAAGCAACCGCAGGTTTAAATTACATGGTATTGGATTGCAATTTCCTAACATTGGATGCTTTTCTGCTTTTTTACCTTGAGTCATTTACTAAGGAGTGTTCATAAAAAAGTAGCTTCAAGCACAGATGCTTGCAAATCACTTAGGCAAAGATGTTTCTCTCTTTTTCATTCTACCTCTTTCTCTCAAAAAAAAAAAAAAGTCTTTTCTGAAGGAAAAGAATAAGACTGTTGGTCAGTATTGATGAACCATGTCATGTATTTGTAGAGAGGAAAAAAGGTAAAATTGAAAACATCTGTTTGAAGTAAATAATACAAACATAAAAGCTTTACTGGTGAATGGAGGGTATTGAAGAGTCCTTATTTCATAGATTAGAAATTACTTTTGATCTAAACATTCTGAAAAACAGATTGTTTTCCACTATGAGCTGTCTCATTAGCTGTGCTAGAGACCCCATTTTAATGGTGAACTTTGAAAGGGAACCGCTGTATTCCTTTGTGAGTCCCCATCTTATTTGGAAGGGGGAAAAGCGTTCCTTCCAGCTTTCTTTGTTTGTCTTTCAAGAACCACGAAAGCAGTGTTCACACACATTTTGGAGGAATGCGCCCCATGTCACAGCCTACAAATTATTTGGGTTTTGGTGCACTTAAAGGTCATCTTCCAAATTAGCAAAATTTTCCTACATCCTGGCTTTTCAACCTTAAATATAAATGTTGTTTCCTAACTGTACGTGAGGCTTATTCTCTGAGAGATGCTGGTGGTTATTTAAAGTGCTCAAACTTCATACCTTTCCATTATTTGGACATGCTGTGTTCCCCAAATAATTAGGCTTTTAAAGTATGCCTAATAGCAAAAAGAAGGACATACATACTAGAAACAATTACTGCAGTTTTTCTATTAAATAACTCAGTGAGAAGTTAGTCAGATTTTAATAAAAGTCTTGCCACACAGTTCAATAATAGTAATTTACTTCTTGAACAACTGAAAGCTGCACTAAAGCATTAATTCTTTTGGCATCATCAGAATTTGGCATGTGCAGAGAGGAGCTTCACTTCTGTCCCTGAGTCTTCTGCTCCCCACCAGACTGACTTTGCTAAGGTCACATGGTGCCACTGTTAATTCTGGAGACATCGTTTCATTTTGAAATTTGAGAGTAAGCCATTGGGTGTTGGGTTTCCCTTTACTATCTTCACTTAGGTCCTGTAATTTTCTTATTACACAGGATAATTTAACATTAGTATTATACGACATCTGTTCAATGACTTCTAAATTGGCTAAGAAGTATGTTAGGGAGTGAGGTCTCCCTTTCTTTAAACATACACTTTGAACGCACAAGCCGGTGTGTACACACATGTACATCTGAGGAAAGAACATTACCCCCCTTTGTATCTAATCAAAACACATTCCCTGCAGTGCAGTTTTTATGTGCCTCAATCACTCCAGAAGTATTTAAATACTGGGATATTACCCAGTGTCTTTTTTCTTTATAGCATGGCATCTTCCATGTTGCTGCTACCGAAGGGAAGGATTGCACTGAAACTCCCAGCCCTTCTCCACGGAGACCAGCAAGAGCTCATTGTCTGGAGAAGGGACACACCTGTAACCCCGCACAGCAAGGCTCTGTCACCACTGCCCCCACACACAGACACTTCTAAAACAGAGTTTGCGTCCTGGTTCTGCCTGCTTCCAACTGTGACAGGAGACAGTTGAGTGTTGCCCAAGGGTGGCAGCTACGAGGACCTAGCAGGCCCCAAGTGCAAAATCTCAGAGGGTTCGGAAGCTAAAATCCAGCTTAAATGGTACATCAGCACCCTACTGGCAATTATTTTCTATAATAATTCCCTCAGAAAAGTATTCTTCTAACAAGTTGCCTTTTTAAAATGAAGATAACAGGAAGTAAGAGAGAAACAGTACTAAAAATTTAGTTATACCATGAACTTTTCTGGACACACAATTCTAGAAGGTGGAATCACGTCCATTTTCTGGACAGAAACTGAGGTGAGGTTCACAGTGTTGGTTATAACAGAACGTAAGGAGATATATCAACTCAAAAATACAGTTGTTAGACCACCAACCCAATAACTATTTCTGTTAAAAAAATTATGCTACAACTTTCTTCTCAAGTTATACAGTAAATTTCAGCTAAAAAAAAAAAAATCACTAACAAGTAAAGACACTAAGTGGGGGGAGGAAGCAGCAACGGAAGAGCATGCAGGCAGTAACAGTCTCTGCCCACTAGCCTCCTCTCCCTATGTCCAGTCCTTCAACATGAGCTCGGGGACAAGTTCACACAAGATTCTCACCACATCTAGAAAATGCTGGAGGGACTTTCAGATTCCTGTTAAGAAATCGATCAGGTCTGTCACCTAAATGCTTACAGTACTCCTGAATCATACATGTTACAGTTCAGGGTAAAAAAATCAAAATTAAACCAAGCCTAAAGAGCTCATAATTTCAATTTCTCTTCTAGGAAAGATAAGAATGTTAACTATTTTCCCAAGACAATATATATGAGCTATGTGTCCTAAGTTACTAAGTTAAAACAGTAAAGTTAATGTAGGAATATCTTCTGCTATATTTACATAATAAAATTAATATGCTAATTCTTACTATGAACTTTAATTTTCAAGTACACATTAGTATGTCATGTCGGAAAACTATTTTACTTCAGGATTAGCAGTGTTAGAATTTGTGGATGATTATAGAACCAAGTCTAGCCCACTTTTAGGATAAAATGTAAATCTATACCACAAACACCAATTTCCGTTTGCTTTCTTCTTTTTTACAACTCTAGTAATTCAACAAAGACCTTGAGAACAAAATTGGAAGATACAAAGGGGGAAAAGCTCCCTGCTTCTAGATGCATCATCGGTTCTGACTCTTCCCTCAGAGTGAATATATACAAGGACAATGTCCCTGGGTCCATTGCATATGTCAGGGTGTCCGGGTGCAGCTTCAGGCTCTGGCTCCCCCCAAACCAGGGCTTCCCTGCTCACCTTGAGAACACTGATTTAAGTCTATTTCTTACTTTTGTTTTGTTTCATTTTTTTGTTTGTTTGTTTTTGGGAGGGATGTGGTTTCTCTGTGCAGTTTTGACTGTCCTGGACTTG